GAGCCACATGCTGCAAAGGCCGATTTTCTTCAATTTTTCAAAGATGCAGAGGATAATTCTTTCGACGGTTTTCTCATGGAACATGTCAGCGGCAAAATTGACTTCACTTCTTTCCGTGTCAACAAAACTATGGCACCAGGTGTAAGTTTTGAGTTCCAAAGTTTTTTCAGGGTTAGTGACTTTGATAAGGGTTATTATTTGATTATGTTGAGCATTGTTTTTACTCAGGAAACTGTTGCCCAATGCCGATTCATTGCAGTAGCCGGATTTGACACAACAGCAAACACTTTGGCACTGATATGTGAGCTGCTTGCAAGAAATGAGGACAAACAGGTGTTTAGTAGAGCTCAATTCTTGTGCTTGTCGCAATTGAAACGACCTGTTTCAGGAAATTCTTCTGAAAGAAATTGACGATACTGACTCCTTTACATACGGCAACATTCAATCCATGGAATATCTTCACTGCTGCGTCTTCGAAACACTGCGATTGTTTCCACACGCTTCACCGTATGATTCTTTTATTCACTTCTGACCATAAGCAGTGCAAAACGAAGGGACGTCATCAAATTTCCTTCGTTTTGTGCTGCAGAGTTGCAACTGTTTCTGCTACAAAATGATAATAATTGAGCGGATTCTTCCTCTCTCCCACAGCGTAACTTATGAATGTCGCTTTGTCGTTTGCCTTATTTTCAACCTTGTAATCATGTCCTTATGGGACCAAAATAATAATCCGCTCTTCTTAACAGTCTTCAACATCGCCTTTGTATGGAAAACTGTCAAGTGGGAGAGTATTACTTCCGGAAAGGTACCTGCATCGTTATTGATCAGTGGGCTTTGCATCATAATCCTGAAATATGGGGAGATGATGTGGAAGAATTCCGTCCTGAAAGGTACTAGCTTCTTCGAACCCGCTTGGCGGTTACGTCAAGCGATGCGAATGCTCCATACTAGATTGTCTGGTTCCAGATTTCATTCACTTCACTACCAAACAGCTTCGTGCTTTCATGCCTTTCGGATTGGGCCCACGGCAATGTGTTGGCATGCGATTTGCCCTGATGGAGATCAAACTCACGCTATCTATGCTGTTTTCGAAATACAGAATCCGACGAAAAGACCACAAAAGCGAGGTACGTAAGTTCTCGCAACATAATTTTTGCACTGCTCAATGTTTGCTGCGACTCGTAGAGATACAAGGTGCCATCGCAGCACCACTTTTTTTTCGTGGAGTGACATATATGGTACATATGATGGTTTCAGTTTGGGCGGCCGCCTCAGAAACAATTTGAGCAACCTGTGACTGACTTTACCCATATTCGCTCCCCAACCCACAGAATTCCAATCCGCGAGCATCATCGATGGCCGTTGCCCGGGCGAGTGAGAGCGGTTTTGGACCCCCTGTTCCACGTTGTACAATGCCGTGAGCTGTGCAACGCTCAGAGCCCTTAGCGCCGAAGTCTACGCGTGTGCTCGGTTACAAGGTCTTTCTTTTCTCACGCCGCTCTTGGTAAAACAGTAACAATACTTGGGCCTCATTCCCCTGAAGCTGAGGGACACCACGAGAGAGGGCGGATCGTCGGCTTACACGCGGACCCTCGAAGCCGGTGTCCTAAAATCACAGGGCCAACGGAGATTTAAGTCGCCCAGGACTAGGATGACGATCTGTACTTTCAACGCACGGACGCTTGCATCGGAAGCTCACATCGAAGATCTGATGTTGCAAGCCAGGAAGATCAAGTACGACGTCATCGGACTGACCGAGACGAGGAGGCATCGCCCGCTACACGCCGTGTACGAGACTGGAGAAGAACTGTTCCTCGGAACATGCGACAGCAGAGGCGTTGGCGGTGTGGGCGTCCTCGTCAACACGCACTTGGCCATGAACATCGATTCGTACGAAAATCTGACGACCCGAAATCGGACGTTTGCGATTCAGAAGACTGTGGTCAACTCCGAGCTTCGTCCTTTCGACAATCTTCGTCGCCTAGCACCAAAACATGACAAAGAGCTACGACGAGGAATGAACTATATGGCAATTGAGGGAAGTTTCGTACAAGGAAGATTAATACTTCTTCACAGGTCATGTGCGCGGTGATGTCAACGCTAAGATGCGGATCAAGAAGGACCAGTCGGCCTGAAGATTTTCACATCGGAAACTCACGGACGGAGTGGATATTGGACACGGCAGGTCGCGGTGAAAAGGCTGTCTGGGTTTATTCATCCTCGATCGCTCCTGACCCACGACCCATTCCAGAACCCTACTCTCCTACGCTTGGACAATGGTGGGAGTCTCTCCTCTCGTGGACGAGTTTTCATAACGAGATCGACCACATCATCTGCAATCGAAGGTTTTGCCTGACCGATGTCGCTGTTGTCCCTAAGTTCTACACGGGATCCGACCATCGCCTCCTTCGCGCAAGATTCCACTTTTCGATGCGAGGAGAGAGAGCCGCAAAGTTCAAGAAGCGAAGCCCAAAGACCTTCATCAACTGGGATCACTTCACTTCTCTCGCTGGGCTCTGGGAGGATTCTGTCATCGACAACATCGACGAGGAATACGAACGGCTTGTTGCCGATATGCTTCACGAACCTGCGCCAAGAAGTCAGAGGGTTCCAAGATTACCAAGAAGCGTCTATCTCTGGAAACTCTCGAGCTGATTCGCCAACGTGGAGCCGCACGAGCCGCAGGCAATTACCAGCTGACGTCTGAGCTTGCGAAGCTATGCAGAGGAGCAGATAGAAAGAAGACGGCTCAAGCGAGAGAAACGCCAGCAGATGGTGGGACAGCCGCAGCGAGGCGTGGAAAGAGCATACGCAACTGCACCGCCCGCGAGCTTCGCCGAAACTGGTAACGACCATAAGATGACCGCCCTCCGAACTTCCGGATGACACATATCACGCCCATCAGACTACAGGCGAATGGAGGTCCAAAGCGACGTCATCACGATCTTTCTACGTCGGACTGCTCTATTCTGACCAGCCACGCGTCCACCTGCAAGCATACCGCTCTGTAGCTAGAGCAGCGCCCACACTGGATATGTCAGTATCCTGCAGTTCCCCCCTTCCGAACGTCCGACACCGCCATCTCGTCGGCGAAGAATCCCCGTACGGCACGCCGTACCTCGAAGGATCAGACCTCGAACATCCTGAAAAATCTTCCGCACAGTTTTTTACTCGTCAAAACTCTGCTACCTTCGCACTCTTCACGCCGCTACCTGTCTGGAACCTGCAAGTCGCGAGGTGTACTCCATCACTCGTGGGAAAAACCAGCACAAGACGGTGGTTGGCTTACCAAGGAAGCGCGAGCGACCTGTACACATTGGCATTATCGCGCAATGCTAGCTGCTGTCTGGTCAGTCTACAAACCTCTTTTCACACGAGTCATCCATTAAACAGAGATTGGAAGAACACTTAGGACGAAGGACGAGCCATCAGCTGAGCCAAACACGACTGGTTTCAGAAGAGTTACGATCCTCAGGCACGATCGATTCCAGCATTGACCACACGCATAGCGAGGCCCTCATTCGGAGCAGTATCGCCGAGGACATCGTAGTACAACGATGCCGGCTATGGTCTCACCGCCGTTCAATTCGCCAGCGTTGTTGCAAGAAGGTCTTGTACTCCGCGTTGAGACAGAAGCGGTTATCGAAGCCCTGGGCAACCAGGGTATTCCTACTCAGTACATCAGGATTCTTCGTGAGCTCTACAGCAACTTCACGACCAAGATTTCACCATTCTACAAGGAGATCATCATTGATGTGAAGAGAGGGGTCCGACAGGGCGACACCACACCTCTCGCCAAGCTCTGCAGCGCGCCGTCTCTCGAGAGACATGCATGCGGTCAAATGGAATCGAAGACATGGGGCAGCTGAAGATCGACGGTCGGCAACTACACCATCTCCGCTTTGCTGACGACATCGTTTTGATAACGCCAAACATCGAGCAAGCGGAACGAATGCTGGCTGAATTCGACTGCGCGTGTGGAAGAATCGGTCTACGGCTGAACCTAACGAAGACGATGTTCATGAGAAACGGATTGGTATCTGATGCCCCATTCACGCTCAACGGAACGACCATCTGCTGATGCTCTAGCTATGTGTACCTAGGTCGTGAAATCAATATGATGAATGACCTAGCTCCAGAGCCTGAGCAGGAGAAGCGAGGGCTATGGAGCCTTCAAGAACATCGAGGGAGTAGCGAAGAAGACGAAGAACACCAAGCTGCCCACCTCTTCGATTCCGCGGTCCTTCCTGCCTTGACGTACGCCTCAGAGACTTGGACTCTACGAAAGCAGGATGAGCATGCGGTCGGCGTTATTCAACGCGCCATCGAAAGGGCGATGCTCGGAGTTTCCCGCTACACGCAAGTGAGAGAGGGAATCCGGAGCTCCGCACTCCGCCAACGATCGAAGATCAGAGACGCCGCATTTGCCAAGGCTTCGAAAAAGATCAGCGTGGGTCGGGACATTGTCATGCGTTTCGAGGACGACCGCTGGACCAGAGCAGTCACCGACTGGATTCCACGGGATGTCAAGCGAACGCCTGGACGACCGCCTATGCGATGGTCAGACTTCTTCGTGAAAGCTCTGAACGAACGGTATGAAGTTCATCGTGTCCCTCGAGCTGAGAGAGTTCATTGGGCAACTCTTGCACGTTGCAGGGACGAATGGAGACGTTACTGGCGCCCGCTCGAGGAACTCGATGATCAACGGGGACGGAGCACAGGTGATACAGGTGCCATACAGGTGATTCGCTCCCAAAGTAGTCCATAGGCATTTCGTTCTGTTGTACTGAACGGGATACTTAGATGTACTCATTCAAAATTTAAGTTGCGTCAGAATCTGCCTTTTGTAATTGGAAGGTGATGGTAACCCAGTTTAATTTTTATGTAGCTGCTTGTTCTCAAAATGATGGCATAGTGACAAACACCATTCCTCACTTCACAAGCAGTCTAGATCGAGGATATGTAATGGTGGCATCAGTACGACCTTCCAGATGACTGGAAGGTCGTTCTGATGCCTTATCCCAAACTTCGCTCATCTTTTGCCACTCCTTCGCTTTCCGGTGGCTCGGTGTATACAATAAACGTTGTATGGTTGTGCGGCGCCGGCATGTAGAGAGAGTCCATGTGCGACACCCTTCTAGTATGGGCTAAAGGAGACGTATCAGCATCCTGCCTTCACAAGTGCAAGGGCATATTTCTGCGTTTTCCCGGACGTCTCCAACTCAGTTTGCTTGCCCCATCTCCTTCCGCACTATATGTGGAGAAAATATGGAATGTTGCCGTTTCTTATAGCGGTTCTTTACTTTTATTCATGCTCGAGTTCTGTTTTCAGATTGAGATGACTCAAAGAGACACTGGTACAATATGGCCAAAGGATATTAGGATACAATTTGAAAGAAGGCGGTGGAACCAAGAAAGTGACGACTGATTGATCTGCACAACGTCGTAGAACACTGTCCAACCTCTTATATTAGTGCATTCATTTTGTACACAGTTGAATAATACTGGACACACTGTATAGGTGACTTATGCTTACTACCATGATCTCTAACCGATGGTAGCTCACAGGTATGTAAACCCTACAAGTTGTCGGGTGTCTCTTTAAGCTTCTATTTATTAAATAAATTGTTCGGATAGTCTCGCGGATCTCATACAGGGTAACTGAAAAGGATCGATGCTTGCATACTATTTTCTTACATTCGAATCAAATGAATGGTTTCACCATGCGACATTGCAGCATTTTATATGTACTTTTTTCCAGTGGTAATTACCTTATTGGTTTTCTACTGTGCAAACGTTTATTCACTGTAAAACGCACGCCTGAACCAGAGTTCTGCCACTGCTCGTCTACCGAAAAAATTCTCTTCAAAGACAGTTGGCGCGATCAAGTATCATGGATAGTTGCTGTTCAATTATAAAGTTCAATTATAAACCAGTAGCTCATAAGTGATCCCACAAAGGAAAAAAGTCAAAAAGAATAAAGGAACACCATAGACGAAATCGCTCCCTGATGGTCAAACCGCGCTGCAGTCGCTGTGCAAGCCCCCACTCACAAGTCGCTTTCTCGCACCTCCCATTACTGGATATAATCCACTGCAAAGGAAAGAAAGCAAAAAACAACAAACATATTCACGC